AAGATAGGGTTTGAACACTCGATTCATGAGGTCCATGAAGGCCACTGGAGCATTTGTGACGCCAAATAGCATGACGAGAAACTTGTAGTGCCCGTAACAGGTTCTGAAGGTAGTCTTTTTGATGTTTTTTGTTTTGACTTTCAATTGATGGTAGCTAGAACGCAAGTCAATTTTCGAGAATACTTGGGCGCCTTGTAGTTGGTGGAACAAGTCATCGATTCGTGGCAGAGGGTACCGATTTTTTATGGTGACTCTATTCAGCTCCCGGTAATCGATGCATAACATCTCTCCCCCATCCTTTTTTTTTTTTTAATATAATATAATAAAAATATATATATAAATATATAAAATAATGAAAGTGGAGAATAAAGGGTGCACCAATAAGCTGTATAGATGCAAAGTGAGGAGAGAGAGTAGGAGATTGGGAGCATGGGTTTGGCTACGGCGCTGCTGGTGCTTCCGTCGGCGGTGCCGGAGGACTCACTGCCAACGGCGACGGCGACGGCGACGGCGACGGAGATTTTGGCTTCTTGATTCACAGCTCTCCTCAATGCATACAGAGCATCACCCTCTTGATTTGAAGTAGATGGTGATGATGATACTAGTAGAAGAAGAACAAAAAGATGTAACAAAGTCCAGATCTCCATTTCAAAAAACCTTTGAAAAGTTGCAGTTGAAAACCTTGAAAGAAGTTCTCTTCCAGCCATCACTCATTGGAATGGAAGCGGCTGGAATCCATGAAACCACTTACAACTCCATTATGAAGTGTGATGTCGATATCAGGAAGGATCTCTATGGAAACATTGTGCTTAGTGGTGGATCAACTATGTTCCCTGGAATTGCTGACCGGATGAGTAAGGAAATCACTGCCCTGGCTCCTAGCAGCATGAAGATCAAAGTGGTGGCCCCTCCTGAGAGAAAATACAGTGTCTGGATTGGAGGCTCAATCCTAGCTTCTCTCAGCACCTTCCAGCAGGTAATTTCTGTCTTCAACAGTGTGTGTGTGTGTGTGAGAGAGAGAGATGTAATACCTTAAAAAGGTATGGAAAAGAAGTTTTAGAATCTCATAGTGATATTGGTTAAATGATTCTTTAGACTTAATTCTTATTATGGTTGGGTCACTCACTTATGCTCACATGTTGCAGATGTGGATATCCAAGGGTGAATATGACGAATCTGGTCCAGCTATCGTTCATCGGAAGTGCTTTTGAGCTAGGTGAATACGTGATTGGTGATATGGCCCTCATTGTCTTTGTCTTGCAAGGTCCAGTGTGGCTTGTCTTGTGTCATATGTGAGTTTAAGTTTGGTCTAGTTTTGAAGCTTGGGTTATTGATAGAGGTGCTTGCAATTGTTATAGTTTGGACTACCAAAAAATTGCATTTTAAGTAGGTCTTACGGGCCAACCCATGATTGGCAGTGGGTGGCTGGAGATGGATCTTTGTAAACCTGTTTGCATGTTTTACAGTCTCTTATGTTTCAGACATGGCTTTTTTAGGCCCTTTGTCATAGGAGATGAGGCAAGTTTTGTCCTACTTTTTCTCCCCTATATAGGATTGGAAGTTCTTGTTGATATGTATTTTCGGTATGGGATTGATATGCTCTTGTCCAAGATCCGACTGATTTTCACCAGAATAAGTAGTGAATTGATTTTATTGTGTGCTTAATCAGGTTACCAAGGTTTATGTATATCATGGTTGATGGTGGTGTGGGTGATGTTTCTAGGGCGGAGTTTTTTTTTTCTTCGAGTGATTGATGAATGAAATTCGCTCCCTGCCCTAAAACAATATTTGGTCATCGAATATTTTGGCTGCCTGAAACAGTTAAATGAACATTTGTTAGTTTGTTCAGTCATTGATTGTTCATTTGAACCGTATTTGCCGATGTGTTTCCTAACATGCTATTACTCTTTGAGAAGAGCACAGTTTAGAAAATTTGAACCATATTTGCAAGTTGCAGAGTCGAAATCGAAGTTGTGGGACTTTTGTTTCAAATTTGCTCAGATTTCCTTCTTTCCAATCCTTGTTTAAGTTTTTGGGTCTAAATTGATGAAAGGTTTTATGGTATTCTTTTTCCCATCTTAATTTCTATAAGAACAAGTGATCTAATATGATGAGTAACTGATTTGCCTTAAAAAAAGATATGAAATCTTAGGCATATTCCGTCTATTTAGGGTTAGTTAATCTTGTCAAATTTCTTGTATTTTATTAAAAGATTAAGGTTGTGTTTGAGGTAAGAATTTGAGAATGAATTTATAAAGGAAAAAGCAAAGAGAAAGGAAAAGGAAAAAAAAGTTTCTCCCTTTCTTTTTCCTTGCACTTCACAAATTCTTAATGCAAAAACGCTAGATTCATGTTCTCTTTGGGAAAGGGGAATTAGATTAAGGTTTTATTTGTCATAACTTAAAAAAAGTTAAAAAAATTAAAAAGTCACTATTCTATTTAAGTCACATTATCTTATTTAAATCATATTATTTCTCTATCATATCACTTCAAACTCAATTCATATTCAACTCATATTTCATAAAAAGTTAAAAAATAAATTTATTTAGATCATTTCAAATCACACCTAATAGTTTGTGGACATGTTTGTTTCGCTGACTATGGAATTGGATTCGACTAGGCTGTTAGCGAGGTATACTCATGTCATGAAAAACATGTTTGGATGGCAAATACTGGGCCGGATTAATAGCCATGAAGAATGCATAATCTTGTACGGCAGTCGAATTACAATACCTGCACGGGGTATAGGATTGAAGGATTAGTCGACGAATTGTTGATGGAGAGGGTATGAAATTACATAAATGCCCCTCCTCTTAATCCTTTGTCAGCACAAAAAAAAAAATAAAAAATAAAAAATGGAAGAAGTTTGAGGGCATTTATGTAAGGGCCAAGACACTCCCACTTGGATTGTCTCTCATATTCAATTTTTTTATTATATATATATATTTTATAATTATTCTAACATTGGCTAATTTGAGGGCATTTATGTAATTTCATATATTAATCTCATATCATAATATTACATACAAACAAACATTCTTTATCCTCCATCTCCAAATTAATACCACCACATTATTAATCTCCTCATTCACTCCCACCACACTCATAATCCTATTCAACCTAATCCGCCAAACAAACGTGGCCAAAGAGTGTTTGGTTAGAGATATGAGTGAGGGGATTAACTATCCCCTTAGACTAGTAATTGTCCTCATTGGTAGAACTACCAATCTCGAGGGGGGGGTGGAATTAGAAATTGAGTGAGAATATTAGTAAATTTTTAAGCAAAATTTATATTTTTTAGAACAAAAAAATAAAATAAATTTATAATATTAAAAAAATACTAAAAATTAAATATTAATTTTATATATTAATATTATCTATAATATTACTAATCCGGTGGTATACAAACAAATACTTTTTATTCTACATTTCTAACCTAATACCACCACATTAATAATCTCTTCACTTCATCTCATCATACTTTTAATTTCCTCTATTCTATAGAGTCTGACATGTACAAGTCCACAAAGGTCATGAATCATTATAAACAATCCAAGCCCATCACTTGGAGCCCAATACATAACCCAGCTGGTGGCATTCAGACACATGACAGGTGAAAGACGAGCCATATCAGCAGACAAAGATCTGCAAAGTTATTGCCACTGCATATCACCATTAATGTAGCTCATCACAGCATTTATTACGACAACACCTCCCCGTCGGAATAGAACTCCCTTACCCTGAACAAGGTAAGCTACATCATAGACTTTTGGCGAGGAGGGCAGGTGGGAAGGGACAGCGAAATGATTACCAAAGGACATAAGCAAACGTTGAAGACAACAAGAAGGTTAAGCTTTCTATCTCTAATCTCTCCCTCTATACTCTACTTCTCTTCCTAACTTGCTCGTCGGAGGGTTCCCTAGGGGACTACCCCGTTCCCTGTGGAACTTGTTTGCAGGTTATCCGGTGGGCTTGATCATTTGGACTTGGGCTTGAGGAGCTTGGACCAGTTCGCTCCACTCACTGGGATAAACTATATCATCAGTTGGCGCCGTCTGTGGGAACGCTTTGCTCCTCGCGCCAGTTGTGTTCACTGTCGCCGGAGACCCATTCCAACAACCTTTTCCTCCTACTCGTCAAAGTGTATGGTCACGACTAGATCCATAGCTTTTCACAATAATGCTGCCAACCATCAGGCTGACCCCCCCAATCCAAACAACCCACCGCAGTATTTTATCGAGCTTACCAACAGCATTAACTGCATGGCCGAGCAAAACCAAGCCCTGATAAATGCTTTACTCCAAAGAAACCTTTCGATGCCTCTTCCACCACCTCCAGATATTCCGCCCAACCAAGAAAGAGCTCCGAGCCATACTGCTCCGCAACCCCATCCACCCAACTTGGAAGGTTTGCAACCTCCTCACCCACATATAAATCCAACACCACCCCCACCCCCGTCGGTCGTAGCACCAGCCCCTGAAGGGGAAGCCAGCAGTGTCCAGCCTCCATTGACTGACCACGGTGACCACGTTCCCCCCTGGGACGTTGAACTCCGAGCAATGAAGCTCCAACTCCAAGGGGTCATGCAGAACATTCAGCATAAACCCTCTACTACGGCAAATTCACCATTTGTTGCCTCCATCCGGGACAAATCTCTGCCCGCCAAGTTCAAGATGCCCACCATTGACTCTTTTGACGGTACGACGGACCTAGTCAACCATTTGGAGACCTACCGCACCATCATGATCCTCTATGCCTTCCCTGACGAGATCATGTGTCGGGCTTTCCCCGTGACACTGAAGGGGTCAGCTCGACTGTGGTTCAGCCAGTTACCAGCAGACTTTGTCTCCACTTTCCAGCACCTCAGCGACTCCTTCCTCAGCCATTTCATTGGAGCCCAACGCCAACGCCACCTGGCAACCCAACTCCTCAACATCCGTCAGACCGAGGGAGAGTCGTTGCGCAGTTTTGTTACCCATTTCAACACCGAAGCCCTGCAAGTAGCGGAAAACGATGACAAAGTCATCCTCACGGCCTTTATGGTCGGGCTACGATCGTCCGATTTCCTCTTCTTCCTCTCCAAAAATCCCCCGAACTCCATGGCGGCCTTACTCTCGAAAGCCCAAAAATACATGAATGCTGAAGATTCACTACCCGCCCGGCAGGATCCCATGGCTAAAAACCCGACCCCCAGAGAAAAGAGGAAAGACTCAGAACCCAGAAATACCCAGTATAATAGCCAAACACCCCACTATACAGACCGACCCCCCCACATTGACCGGTCGGCACCAGCCCGACCTCCCGGTCGGTTCGAGCGGTACACCCCCCTTAATTCTCCTATGAAACAAGTCCTCAACCAGATCCAACAAGACTACCCCCTCAAATGGCCCCTACCTTCACGGACCCCTTCCAATTGGAAAGACCAGTCCAAATATTGTCGTTTCCACCAGGACCACGTCCATAACTGTAGCGACCCTAATTTTTTTGTAAGTCTTTAGTTATTTATTTATTACTATTATGATTTTATTTTATTATTGGTTTTATTAATGGTGTGGTTACATGAAAATTAAATGTGTTATTCTGTTAATTTAATGTGATATTTAATTTGTTTAATGTGGTATGTAATTATTTATAATTAACCAGAATCTTTATATTTATATATTCATTTATACATAAAAAAGAAAGGTGTATTTATATTTGTTATTTATATATATTATAATTTGTTGTATAATATTATATGATAGTTTATTAGGTGTTATGAATGAGATTTAGGTCTATATATATATAATAGGTAGTCAATTAGGTTATAAACAAAAAAAAAGAAAAGGGAAGTGTTGTGCGGCGGCAAGCCCGAGAGAGAGAGAGAGAGAGGTTGATTGATCATCCAAGAAGAACAAAAAGGGTGCTGTGCTATGTGTGTGGCGTGGAAAGAGAAGAAAAAAAAAAAGAAAAAGAAAAAGGAAAAAAAAAGATTAGGGTCTTGTTTTGGTGGTTCCTTTAGTTCTCCAAATATTTTATTGACCTTCAAAATAATATTGTGAGTACAAAATTCATTTTTCTTTGTTTATATTTGATTCATTATATTTATTTATTTGTATTTGTTTAATATTGATTTGATTTTTGTATTGATATGAAGATGACAGATTGATTTTAATTGTTTTGATTAATTGGGTATGTAAGGTTTATGATTTTTTTTAGATGATTGATTAATTTTAATTATGTTGATTAGATGTATATGTAAGGTTTAGGATTTTTTTTAGATGATTGATTAATTTTAATTATGTTGATTAGACGTATACGGAAGGTTTAGAATTTTTAGATGATTAATTCATTGTAATAATTTTAATTAGTTGGGTATGTAAGGTTTGTGATTTTTTAGATGATTGATTAAGTTTAATTATGTTGATTAGACGTATATGTAAGGTTTAGGATTTTTAGATGATTAATTGATTGTAATAATTTTAATTAGTTGAGTATGTAAGGTTAGGATTTCTAGATGATTGATTAATTTTAATTATGTTGATTAGATGTATATGTAAGGTTTATGATTTTTAGATGATTGATTAATTTTAATTATGTTGATTAGATGTATATGTAAGGTTTAGGATTTTTAGATGATTGATTAATTTTAATTATGTTGATTAGATGTATATGTAAGGTTTAAGATTTTTAGATAATTAATTGATTGTAATTATTTTAATTAGTTGGGTATGTAAGGTTTAGAATTTTTAGATGATTGACTAATTTTTAATTATTTTGATTCGACGTGTATGCAAGGCTTAGAGTTTTTGTATGATAGATTGATTTTAATTATTTGCATTAGTTTGGTATGCAAGGTTTAGGGTTTT